GGGGGGGGGGGGGGGGGGGGGGGGGGCCTGCAAAATCTAATAAAATTCGTGGGACCAAAAAAGTATAATAAAATACATTGTGGGGGTTGTGGAGATGAGGATTGGGGGACACTTGGGGTTGCCATTGAATCGACTTGAAAGTGCCTAAACACGTACACATTCATGCATGGTCGAACAAAGAAAGAGAGGTAAATGCACGCACCCTCAGTTCAAGAATCTTTGAACACATAAAACTCGAGTTCAATTCATCAACATGGTTTATGAGTGATTGCGTGCATCTAGAGCTTGCATTACAATTATGAGTTAAAAGAACGTGTAGTCGGAACAATTCTTGTGGAATATCAAGACTTTATGTATGATGGGATGAGTGCAACCATAATTCATAACAAAAGCCAATAAAAACTAACAAGGAACCAATGATCTAAATGAATCAACCCCCATACAAGTCCTAATATAAAATATGTATCTGTGACAGCCTTAAGATGTTAAGCATTGCTCCTGTACACACCGTATCAGCATTGTTGACAATTTATCAGATCAAAACTTAAATCAAGTAGACAATACGCGTGTCGCATAGTGGTTAAGGTCCATTCCAACCAATGCCTAAACAGGTCGGGATCTTTGCCCTTTCCCAGATAGTGCAGTATGAGTACTAGTTGTACTTGAACACACACACACAAACAAGTCAATGTATAGGATTAACCTGGCAAGAACCGAATGGGTGTCACAAAATAACATTCCGAGAAATAAGACCATAAATAGGAGGCTTTCAGCATCTTGTTCCATGGAAGACAGCAAGTCTAGTCTAACTACAATAAAGGGGCAATTATCACAGGTATTATCAATATAAACAACGCTTAATCTAGAATATTAAACATATATACATCAGTTCATTAATCAAAAGCAGAGCTTTTCTTTTAATAACTGATTATGATGCTGAGACATTTTCTACATTAAGGACAGAAACCAATGTCACTTTTCTTTTTGAAAAAAATGATTCGGCTATTCAAAGATTAGGCTATATTGTTCTTGCGTATGAAATTAAACCAATAATATCGGTACTGAATAACATATTTTTCCCAAATGGCGTGGATAAACTAATTCGCATTCAAAAGTAAGTAAAAAAATCAAAAGTAACTACTTTTCAAGCTAGAAGGTTCGTTAATGTAAATCACTGAAATGATGTGCCAAGCTTCTAGCTCAATCGCATTTGGAAATATGAATCAAATATATAATAGTAATGTCTTCTCCCGAGGCATAATTGATTCTACCCAGTAAATGCCTTGATGATATAATAGCATACATTTGTAGATTCTTCATCTCATATTCCTCGACACAGAATTTATCAACTTTAAATTTGCGTAGTAACTTTACAGTGTACTAACTGCCTAAGTGCTTAATGTTTTCTTGTAGGAAAAAAGATGTTTTAATTATAATTTTGAACGTCTGTAATCAATTTCTAGCTTAGCTATGCAGTCATATAGTATAGCTTAAACACGGTACAAAAAGAGGGAAATAAATTTTCTATACCATTTTGACTATGAATGTGTGTGAAACATCTATTTGCTGGAATCTTGGTGCAAGAAGGCATTGGCCAAAGAAATGGTGTCTGTTTATTCTAACCAAGGTCCCTGCTGGGTGGTGCACTTCCTTTATATACAGTCTTGATCATCACACAACCTTGTTTGCCTGAAGTAAGACTCTTTGAAGCTCATATGCAATATCTCGTAAAATAATTGGTTTTTGAATAACTCCATTCATCCCAATTTGCATACATCTTTCCCAAACATCATCAGCACTTGCTGTCAAGCCGATTATCAATGGCCAGCTGCGGCTTCGAAACTTCCGAATTCTTATGGTAACTCCAAATCCATCCAAGTCAGGCATGTGAAGATCCAAAAGAACAATTTGGAAAGAAGACACAGCTGGGCCAAGTGCACTAAGGCATTCATATCCACATGAAACAGTGGACACAATACATCCTAGTTTCTCAAGCAGCTTCCGTGTCACTGCCCTGTTCAAATCATCGTCATCAGCCAATAGAACTTTAAGGCCCCTGAAGAGAGAGTTTGAATGAGGGAGCTCTGAAGATTCTCCCGATTGGGTGATGCCTACAACAATGGATGGGCGGAGTTGAAACCGAAGAACAAGTCCCATGCTTTGATCAAATCCCTCTGAATTTGGGACAACCCAGATTTTCCCTTGCATTAACTGCCAATTTACCCAAAAGAAATGAGTTAGCTGCAGAAGGAAATGTTTTGATTAAACCTAGGGCAGGCCGAAAATATATAATTGCTCATGCAGTCCTTTAAGAGAGGGTGTCCCAAAAGCAAAAATGAAAGCAGAAAAGGGAGAAAATGTTCAGTGGGCTGCAATTAACAGCCCTTTGAAGCAACCATAACAGTTCTAACTATTGCCTGCCCCTTTTGTAGTTTCAGTATACCATTGAATGTGGACATTATATGAACAGTCTCCAGGTTAATATCCTAATAGAAGAAACTTCTTGCTTCTGAAAAAGTTCTTATACAATATTTGCTTAAAGGGCCAAAGAAAGTCAAAGTCCTTACAAAATACAGTCCAAAAATTCTGACAAAAGTACCATTAGAAGGGCAAATAATCAATAACCACCAAAGACCACTTAAAACCAAAAAAGATCTATGCGAACAAATTAGATTGAAGGGCCACTTAGCAATCATGCCATCCAAATTCCTTGAAAGGAATGAGGCTATAATACTACTGCAAACATTTGTTGAAGTGAGATTACATATTTATGTCTATTCTGAAAAGAATGTATCCACATTTTTTAATCTTGCAATAAGATATGACTAGATCAAAAGAGCAAGGTCTAACATTCTGATGGAGGACAGAAAATTGAAATTAACTCTCCGTCCTCACATACTGCTAGCAATATCATGCAGATGATAGTGTCATGAAATTGTGATTGCTCGTTGGTCATGTGGTTCCCAAAATGAACACACGCACACCCCCCCACTCACCTGCACTAGCTTTTTGCACACGCTGAAGCTCAAGCCTTCCTCANGGCAGGCCGAAAATATATAATTGCTCATGCAGTCCTTTAAGAGAGGGTGTCCCAAAAGCAAAAATGAAAGCAGAAAAGGGAGAAAATGTTCAGTGGGCTGCAATTAACAGCCCTTTGAAGCAACCATAACAGTTCTAACTATTGCCTGCCCCTTTTGTAGTTTCAGTATACCATTGAATGTGGACATTATATGAACAGTCTCCAGGTTAATATCCTAATAGAAGAAACTTCTTGCTTCTGAAAAAGTTCTTATACAATATTTGCTTAAAGGGCCAAAGAAAGTCAAAGTCCTTACAAAATACAGTCCAAAAATTCTGACAAAAGTACCATTAGAAGGGCAAATAATCAATAACCACCAAAGACCACTTAAAACCAAAAAAGATCTATGCGAACAAATTAGATTGAAGGGCCACTTAGCAATCATGCCATCCAAATTCCTTGAAAGGAATGAGGCTATAATACTACTGCAAACATTTGTTGAAGTGAGATTACATATTTATGTCTATTCTGAAAAGAATGTATCCACATTTTTTAATCTTGCAATAAGATATGACTAGATCAAAAGAGCAAGGTCTAACATTCTGATGGAGGACAGAAATTTGAAATTAACTCTCCGTCCTCACATACTGCTAGCAATATCATGCAGATGCTAGTGTCATGAAATTGTGATTGCTCGTTGGTCATGTGGTTCCCAAAACGAACACACGCACACCCCCCCCACTCACCTGCACTAGCTTTTTGCACACGCTGAAGCTCAAGCCTTCCTCAAGTCTCTCGCTGCAGTATCTCTGACCACCAACCGGGAATGCCGAAATGACATCCGTCAACTGGGAACCACTATAGTTAAGCCCTATCTCAAATTTAAGATAGACATACCCATCAGATGAGTTTGATCTCCAGGTTGTCCATCTTTGATCATTCCTTCCATGACTGCCTCTGTCTGAGCAAACCCTAAATGTTACACACCCTCTATGGTTGCCATTCACAAGACTACCAATCATGTGCAAAATCACCTGAAACACTCTTCGTTCATCGCCCATAACATGATCAGGCAATGACTTCTCAACCTCAATGTCAAAACCATTACCCCTACAAACACACAAGCATTTGGCGAGGCAAGCGGCTTCTTTTATCATGGAATGCAGGTGGAAAGACCTCATCTCTAGTGGGAACCTTCCATTGTTCTTCATTGAAGTATCCGTCACATCATTTATCAAGGTTGAGAGGACATTGCTGGTTTTAACCAATGCATCAACAAGAGTTTTTTGCTGGCTATTCAAGTTCTCATCCTGCATCATGGAAAGTAAACCCAAAATTGAATGCATGGGTCTTCTCAAGCCATTGCTCATTACCATCTGAAATGAGTTCCTTGCCTGGCTTGCCATCATTGCGTCCTGTTTCGCCAGTTGCAGGGCTCGATTTTGCTCCACTAACCTATCTCTCATGAGCTGGGACTCTTCAAGCACCGCAGCATGTGAGAGAGCCACAGCCACCTGATCAGCAACCACCTTCACAATTTCAAGTTCCTGGTTGCTCCAAGATCTTCCTTGTCCACCAGGAAGGACCAAAACAAGTATTGCATAAGCAGCCGGGACCATCTCAGGAGTTCCACCTTTGAAGTTAGAAACCCTCAGCATTGGCATCCTAATTGCAGCAACAGCACCTATGTCACCCTTCCCTCCACAGCTTGCAGCTGCAAGTGCTGATTCATGGTGAATTATCTTTACTACTCCATCACTCTCCTTAATCTCTCTCACATCTGGGTCCCAAATTGGGATGGAGGAACTATAACGTTCAGAAAAATTTGTCCTTTCCAATTCATGGGTCAGATTCATCTCTGTCTTATTTTCATTAGGCATCCAAATTGCGCAATTCTGCAAATCCAGTGTCTTTGATAGCTCAACAAGAGTTGTATCTAATATAGTATGCCGATCAAGTGACTTACGGATCTCTTGGGTGAGCATCCGAACATGCCACCCAGCTTCCTTCTGCTTCTTTATCATTCCAACCTCTCGACCAAGATCCCAAGTCTTCTTCTTCAGCATAAATTCTCTCACCTTCACTTTGAGCAGCAATGGGATGAGAGTGATAAGGGTTATAGCAGTGGCAAAAGAGACCAAAGCAGTGAGAAATTTGAAAATGGTTACAGCAAGCATTAGCTGAAATGGATGTGGGCCATAAGTCCAGCCATTGAGCAAATGGGTCATTCCGCATAGAACAATGAAAGCAATGAATTGAAAGAGTACCCATTTGAATGGAACGTTTGAACAGCTAACAAAGTAAAGTAGCTCTATTGGGATTGAAAAATAGGCCACTGCAATCAAGAAATCACTCACTTTTTGGCACTCTAAAATGTTTTCAGTGCTCCAAAAACCATCCTCCCCACAATCCCGGGGGAACCCATTATCAGCAGCAGAAATGGAAATGAGGAATGATGAAATCAATAGCCCAGATGCCAATGTCTTTAGCATTGCATCCAATGAATTGATTCTTCAATCCATCTATTATTGAGGATCGAACTTACTAATAATCCAATGCAGATCACACAAGTATTAAACAATTTGCGCTACTTAGGACCATAAAACACAAGCTTCTGGCATTCATTTCCTGTACAAAAATGTATAACTAAATCAAAAACCACTTCCACAAACAGAAACAGAAAAGGGGAATTCCCATAAACCCAATTGCAATATACATCTACAAACTATAGACACTAATAAATATCTGGAAAGCACCAATTTGGTAATAGTTAAAGATCTAACATTACCAATCTCATGCCAAAAAAAAAATGATATGAATTAGCAAACAGCTAAAAACCAATATAAATCCAATTTTGTGATTCAGGTGGTCACTCATAATGAAGAACACCTAGAAATTTCCTCAATTACAAACATTACAAAGCAATTAATAATAAAAACAAGCTACCAACAACAATATTTTAGCTGGAAAATTTTGAAAACCCACCAATATTTACCGTTCAAGGAAACAAGGAAAAAAAAAAGTAATGCAGGCATAGAGGAATCTTACCTGGTAAAAAAAGAAATCACAATATCTTCAGATCTTATCTTTTATTCTACTGCGGACAGATTTATTTGATATATACAGCCACGAATACTTCCCNTTTTTACCGTTCAAGGAAACAAGGAAAAAAAAAAAGTAATGCAGGCATAGAGGAATCTTACCTGGTAAAAAAAGAAATCACAATATCTTCAGATCTTTTCTTTTATTCTACTGCGGACAGATTTATTTGATATATACAGCCACGAATACTTCCCGATCACAATATCGCCTTCTAATCCAAAACATCAACTACCAAATAACCTCCACACCAAATCTCTCTGTCCATTTACACCACCAACCCATTCACCTAGAACTCCTCTCCCTCCAGTTACTGCAGTAAAGAACAAAACTATGCAAATACCAACAACAAATCACAAGAAAACCAGCAAAGAAAACCCAGTTTTTTTTTTTTTAATCTAAAGGTCACTCCACCCCCACAATCGGTTGATTCGCACAGGTTCTGGAGGGTAAAGCCGGGCCTATACTGTATGTATGTCTTTAAACACCACCACTTCTATAAATGAAATGATGATATAGAAGANTAATCTAAAGGTCACTCCACCCCCACAATCGGTTGATTCACACAGGTTCTGGAGGGTAAAGCCGGGCCTATACTGTATGTATGTCTTTAAACACCACCACTTCTATAAATGAAATGATGATATAGAAGAAAATTCTCCCAGTTTCTCTTCTTTTTTTTTTTTCAGTTTCGTTTGCCCTTTTCTTCTTGTCTCTCTCTGTACTCAAACTTCAAAACAGGAGTTTCTGGGAGATCAGAGGGAGAGAACGAGAGAGGAAAGACTTTATAGGGAGAGACATGGAGAGGTTTATTTTGTCCGCCCATTGTTTGAGAGAGAGAGAGAGAGAGAGACAGGAGAGAGACAGAGGGGTTTTGAAGCAGTGTGGTCTGTAGAGAGGAGGAGGTTTTAGAGTGGGACCCACTTTGGTACATGAAGAGAACTTAGACGCACTTTTGTTCCACACGTCACATTCAACCCCCTAAACCCCCCC